TGATTCCCAGTGGATTGTTCATCAAGTCGTCCCATCGCTTGGTAACCAGGTATGCCAGACTATTAATATCACCTCATTTTGTGCATGGTCCTGTAGCATCGGTGAATTCTGATCCTGTAGCATCCATTCCTGTCAGGGCAAGGCACAGAATGGAAAAGCGCCATGGGAAGGGGTAAGCTAACTAACAATTACTAATTTTACATATTTTGCACTTCTCGTACTGTTTGCCGTGGGAATGCATAAATGATTTTATCTTTCTGTTTTGTCTGTTCCAGGTTAGAGCACGCTGTCGTAAAGAATGGGGGATATTTCAAACAAGGTTGACAGACGCTGAGAAAGCATATTACTTGGCGCATGGGATCACACCACCAAAATCGACAGTAGCTTAGATGCATGCCTGCATACAGGCACCTCGCGAGTCATAAGGCAAGGTTTGTGCTTCGTGAACCTGGCGCCTGCCTGTCCGATAAGTAACTGACTCTGTAGGGATGCAGCACCAAGGCCAGATTTGTACAGGATCAATTTCCTTTCTACTCTTCTTAGTTTTTCACTTGTTTTTTTTTTCTCTCTGTACGAGAGTAGCTCCTATGTAAGTAGCCTAGCACGATTTCGGAGATACTCTCATTTGTCTTATTGGCCAAATGCAGTATCGATACTGTCATTTCTTTTCCTTGTTTTAACATACAAATGATTGCGTTGGAACAGCTCTTGTGCATTCAGTTCCTTATTTTCATGCTCTAGCTAGATATATGCAGCCCGTTCGCTCGGTCGTATTTGGCTTATAAGTCATGACTTAGCAGTCAACAACAACAACAAAGCCTTTAAGTCCTAAACAAGTTGGGGTAGGCTAGAGTTGAAACCCATCAGAAGCAATCAAGGTTCAGGCACGTGAATAGCTGTCTTCCAAGCACTCCTATTTAAGACTTAGTCTTTGGGTATATTTCATCCTTTCAAGTCTCCTTTTATTACCTCTACCCAAGTTAACTTTGGTCTTCCTCTGCCTCTCTTCACGTTACTATCCTGGCTTAGGATTTCACTACGCACCGGTGCCTCTGGCGGTCTTCGTTGCACATGTTCAAACCATCTCAACCGGTGTTGGACAAGCTTTTCTTCAATTGGCGCTACCCCTAATCTATCACGTATATCATCGTTCCGAACTCGATCCCTTCTTGTATGACCGTAAATCCAACGCAACGTACGCATTTCCGCGACACTTAGCTGTTGAATATGTCGTTTTTTCGTAGGCCAACATTCTGCACCATACAACATAGCAGGTCTAATCGTCGTATTATAAAACTTGCATTTTAGCTTCTGTGGTACCCTTTTGTCACATAGGACACCAGACGCTTGCCGCCACTTCATCCACCCTGCTTTGATTCTATGGCTAACATCTTCATCAATATCCCCGTCCCTCTGTAGTATTGATCCTAAATATCGAAAGGTATCCTTTCTAGGCAGTATTTGACCTTCCAAACTAACATCTTCCTCCTCTCGAGTAGTAATGCCGAAGTCACATCTCATATACTCAGTTTTAGTTCTACTTAGTATAAAACCTTTAGACTCCAAAGTCTCCCGCCATAACTCCAGTTTCTGATTCACTCCTGTCCGGCTTTCATCAACTAGCACTACATCGTTCGCGAAAAGCATACACCAAGGGATGTCCCCTTGTATGTCCCCTGTGACATCATCCATCACTAAAGCAAACAAATAAGGGCTCAAAGCTGACCCTTGATGTAGTCTTATCCTAATCGGGAAGTCCTCCGTATCTCCATCACTTGTTCGAACTCTAGTCACAACATTGTTGTACATGTCCTTAATGAGTCCGACGTACTTCGTTGGGACTTTATGTTTGTCCAAAGCCCACCACATAACATTTCTTGGTATTTTATCATAAGCCTTCTCCAAGTCAATAAAAACCATGTGTAGATCCTTCTTCTTCTTCCTATACCGCTCCATAACTTGTCTTATTAAGAAAATAGCTTCCATGGTTGACCTTCCAGGCATGAAACCAAATTGGTTCATAGAGACCCGTGTTATTGCTCTCAAGCGATGCTCAATAACTCTCTCCCATAGCTTCATAGTATGGCTCATCAACTTAATTCCCCGGTAATTAGTATAACTTTGAATATCCCCTTTATTCTTGTAGATCTGTACCAATATACTTCTTCTCCACTTATCAGGCATCTTGTTCGATCGAAAAATATGGTTGAACAGCTTGGTTAGCCATACTATAACTATGTCCCCGAGGCATCTCCACACCTCGATTGGGATACCATCCGGTCCCATCGCCTTACCTCCTTTTATCCTTTTCAACGCCTCTCTGACCTCAGATTCTTGGATTCTCCGCACAAAGCGCCTATTGGTGTCATCAAAAGAGTCATCCAACTGAAAGGTTGTGTCCATATTCTCACCATTGAACAATTTGTCAAAATACTCTTGCCATCGATGTCGGATCTCATCCTCCTTCACCAAGAGATGCTCCCTTTCATCCTTAATGCACTTAACTTGGTTGAAGTCCCGTGTCTTTCTCTCACGAACCCTAGCCATCCTATAAATGTCTTTCTCTTCTTCCTTCGTACTCAAATGTTGGTAAAGATCCTCGTACACTCTACCATTTGCCACACTTACAGCTCGCTTTGTAGTCTTCTTTGCCACCTTGTACTTCTCTATGTTGTCCACACTCCTGTCATGGTACAAGCGTCTATAGCATTCTTTCTTCTCCTTAATAGCCATTTGGACTTCCTCGTTCCACCACCAAGTATCTTTAGCCTCGTCTTCACTTCCTTTGGTTACTCCACACATCTCTGAGGCCACCTTCCGAATGTTGGTTGCCATCTTCTCCCACATGTTGTTTATGTCGTCTTCTTCTTTCTAAGAACCCTCTTTGATAACCCTTTCCCTGAATACCTCTGACGTCTCCCCTTTCAGTTTTCACCACTTTGTTCTTTCAATCTTAGCTTGTTTATCCCTACGGGCACGCACCTAAAAACGAAAATCTACCACCAAAAGCTTATGTTGAGAAACAACACACTCCCCTGGTATCACCTTGCAATCCAAGCATGCTCGTTTGTCCTTTCTTCTTGCGAGGACAAAGTCAATCTGGCTACAGTGTTGTCCGCTACTGAAGGTCACTAGATGAGATTCTTTCTTTCTAAAAAAAGTGTTGAATATCATCAGTTCAAAAGCTACCGTGAAGTCCGGAACTTCCTCCCCCTCCTGATTCCTACTACCATACCCAAAACCTCCATGAACTGTCTCGAAACCTGCGCTTGTAGTACCTACATGCCCATTAAGATCTCCTCCTATAAAAAGCTTCTCACTACTAGGTATAGCTCTAACCAAGCCATCTAAGTCTTCCTAGAACTGTCTCTTAGCACTCTCGTCGAGGCCTATTTGAGGGGCATACGTACTAATTACGTTCAAGACCATATCACCAACGACAAGCTTGACTAAGATAATCCTATCTCCTTGCCTTCTCACTCCCACCACACCATTCTTGAGGCTCTTATCAATCAAAACTCCTACTCCATTTCTATTCGCGACTGTCCCTGTGTACCAAAGCTTGAAACATGTATTGTCCACCTCCTTCGCCTTCTGACCCTTCCATTTAGTCTCTTGAACGCATAATATATTTACACGTCTCCTAGTCGCGGTATCAACTAATTCTCTTAACTTACCTGTAAGTGACCCTACATTCCAACTACCTAAACAGATCCTAGTTGGTTCGACTAGCTTCCTTATCCTTCACACCCGTCGACTCATATGCGAAGACCCTTGCTCATTTTTCACTACACCCGGACGCCGATGTAGCGCGCCACTAAGGAAGCGACGACCCGATTCTTGCTCACTTGACACCATGTCCAGATCACGACACGGCGCGTCACGGGGGTAACGACCCGACCCTTGCCTATTTAACACCATACCCGGGTTCCGATATGGCGCGTCGCTAAGAGGGTTACGCCCCAACGATTTTCTTTCGGGTTTCATCTCCATTAAAGTGGCTAAGTTTTTATATTGGCTCGTCACGCCTAACACAACCCTCCTCCTTTATCAGGGCTTGGGACCTGCTATGCTGGGACACCAAAGGCGCCCCACCATAGGCGGAGTTCATGGCTTATCAGCCAACGAACAATATTTTTCTCTCACACCAAACCAACCAACAGTATTTTCAGCTATGACTTAAAACTTGTTTGGCAAGGCTTCTAAGGGCTCCAGCTCCTCCTGAACTAGCTACTGTAGCATGGAACCGTTTTTCTCTCTCCTCGTGAAATGAACTAGGAGCCCGAAGAAGCCACGTTTTCTAGCTCCTCCGGCTCTAGCTCCTCTGGCACTGTAGCATCCGGAGTCAAAGAGAGCCATGCCAAAGAGGGCCTTATAAAGCAAAAAAGTCCAAACGAACAGGACGTTGAATGACAGACCCCTGAAACATTGCTTAGCCAGATATGTTTGTCCTGCCAAGGCAAGCCATGTTGGATTGTTTAAATTGGGTTGTATGTAGTCATCTCTGTGATCTAGTAGAGGTTTTATGTTTCTAGTAGAAAGTAGTAGAGTTGAGAATATTTTATCTTTGTGGCCATTGGTTTGTGCAAATTTACATTATCTAATATGATTAAATCTAGTGTGCTAGCTAATGCTGTATTATGCTTGCTTTGAGCAGTGTGCAGGACTGATCTATGCGGACAACTAAACATGGATAAACTGCACAAGTCTGAATATATATAGGATAATATAAGTTTAGTCTGAATACATATTAATATAGACAGCCAAACATGCTCACAACAAAAGTACAAAACAGCTATCAGTGTTTCATCATCATACATTATTATCCCAAGGTGGCATTAAGTACTACATCTTATTTTTAGATATTTCGATTGTTGCATCAGCAACCACAAGATCCACCAAGTAGCGGCATAGGCCTATATATATATATACCACACGGCATATGAATATAGGAAGACGTAGGTATAGGTACGTGCATCTGGTACAACTGTATCAGAGCGTTACGCGCCGTAGCGAAGGAGGTGGCGGTTCTTGATCGGGGAGCACGTAGCGTAGCCGCCGCCGCCGCCGCCGCCGGTGTACTGGACGGTGCTCTGGTACGACTCATAGCGGCGCCCGCCGTCCTCGCGGGTCTCGTATGACTCGTAGCGGCGCACGCCCCCGAGGTTGCCAGCCCCGTGCTTCTCCTGCTTGTACGCCCCGTAGCTGTGCTGCACACCGCCGCGCGGCGGGAACGCCTCCTCGCAGTCGCTCTCGTCGCTCTCGCTCTCAGTCTCGCTATCGTACACGTCCTGCATGTAGCCGTGCTTCTGAACGGCGGCGGCGCCACCACCGTAGTGAGCGCCGTACCCTCCTGCGCCAGTTCCGCCGTACGCCTCCTGGTACTGGTAGCCGCTCTTCACTTTGGCACCGGCGGTGGCGCCGCCGTACCCGTACGCATCTTTCTGGTAGCCGTACTGCTGCACGGCGCCACCGCCGGCACCGCCGTAATGAGCACCGTATCCTCCTGCGTCAGTTCCGCCGTACGCCTCCTGGTACTGGTAGCCGTTCTTCTTCACTTTGCCACCGGCGGCGGCCGCGGCGGCGCCGTACCCGTACGCATCTTTCTGGTAGCCGTGCTGCTGCACGGCGCCACCGCCGTAGTGAGCGCCGTACCTTGCCCCTGCCGCGTCGGCGGCGGCTTCCCCGTACCCGTACACCTTCTGCTGGGAGCCGTTCATCTTACTAGTGGCGTCCTTCTGCTTGTAGGCCTGCTGCTGCACGGCGTCACCGATGATGGCGCCGCCGTACGCCGCCTGCTGGTCGTAGGCGTACGTCTGCACGGCGGCACCGGCACCACCGTGGTGCGCGCCGTAGCCGGCGTCGCTCTCCCCGCACGCCTCCTGCGTGTATCTGTAGCCTTGCTTCTTCCCGCCGGCGCCGGCGCCGTAGTGGGCGCTGCCGTACCCTGCAGCCTGGGTCTCCCCGTACGTCTCCTGCTTGTAGTTGTAGCCTTGCTTCTTCCCGCCGGTGCCACTGCCGTAGTGGGCCCCGCCATACCCTGCAGCAGCCTCGGTCTCCCCGTACGCCTCCTGCTTGTAGCCGTAGCCCTGCTTCTTCACGGCGGCGCCACCGCCGTAGTGGGCGCCGTACTCCGCGTCGATTACTTCGCCGTACTTCTCCTCCTCCTTGAACTCGTCGTGCTTCTTCACGGCAGCAGCGCCGTACTTCTCCTCCTCCTCCTTGAAGGAGTGCTTCTGCACGGCCACGGCGCCGGCTTCGCCGGCGCCGTAGCAGGGCTTGTCGTTGACGGTCATGCGGTTGATCTCCGTCACGACGGTGGTCACGGACTCGCTGTTCTGGCGGTGGTAGTTCATCTGGGGCTTGCTGTTGCCGTAACCATAGCCGTAGCCGTAGCCATTGCCACACTTCACAAGCGAATCCATGCTCACAGTAGGAGCTTTGTTTTCTATTTTTTTCAAGTGCAGCTCTCTGCTTATATTACTCTGGCTGCTGCGCCTTGGCTTTGTGTTCGTATGGATCGGCGATTGGCCTGCTTTATAGGCGCTGTGGCGAGAATGAGAGAGGCTGAGAGCATCTGTGCCCGATGGACACCTCTTGCTCGAGCTCGATAGTATGGTATATTGGTATGGTGGTGGTGGTGCAGGGGCGGCAAGCAATGGATATGTGCTCGATCCGTTAGTTACTCGCTTTATATCTAAACTGGCATCTTGAAATTGTTCGATCGAACCAGACAAGGCTGCGTGCCAGTGTGAATCTTTCGATTTCTATAAACCAAAGAAATCTGTGGCAAGTGTTTATGGTCCAAATAGCAATCTCATGAAGAAAAAGTTTGGCACTGTTATGCTCCACAGTGTAAAGCTAATGATCGTTGAGGCAATCTTTCACCGCACAGCGGATGCTCTTGAGTCTCGACCATATGATCAAGGCATCTATATACATTAATACAACGTGAGGAGTGAGGACGCATCTCGCATATACTGCGATCATTATTTTCTAAAGCGAATGAAGATCCTATTCGCGTGCCAAACTTGATGGCCTCCTTTTTTTTTTACTTGGCTTGCGTACGTAGCGCAGAAGCAGGAAATGCTTATCTGATTATCTCTCGTCATATAGTAGTAGCGTTTGAATGATTTGATACCATGGATGGATTATTCTACGTTCGTCACGTGATGGTACTCTGAATTCTGATGCTGCTGCTACCGTGGTGTAGGGGCTACCCTGCTTTGAATTAATTTTGATGCCCTTCACACTTTGAGAAAACATGATTGTATGCGTTCATACTCTGCAGTTGAAGTAAAATTATGGAAATTCACTGTAAATTTTATTTTATTTTCTTTTACCCTTTTTTTCTCGAAATATAACCACGGCAAAGCTACTGTTGCTGTCCTTTTGTTTCTAATCTAAATAAAAAAGAACTTGCAGGCAATCCTCATGAGACGAAAGCGGCAAATGTACTGGTGATTTCTCGCAGCCAAAATTCGGTGCTGAATCCCGTAACTGATTATACTTTATACCTCATCATGTATATGTACATCATCACCGCTGTGCGGCTTGGCCTCACGCACGTATACGTACCCTGTACCCAATCTGCAGGCAATCAGCAGAATAATTGTTAGAGCACACATCTTTTCGTTTTGACAACTCAAGCAAGTCGCATAAAGAATATCAATAATTATGATGCCAAGGAAATATAGTTAGATTTTTTATTTTTTTTACGGATCACAATACAGACGTAGACATTTATATATGCACAAATACTCATCCTACCCGTCTATAAGCACACCTAAACCTCGCTATAGAACACTCTATCCTATGAAAAGATTGAATCAACATAAAAGGACAACATTTTTTTTGTAGAATTCTGAAATAAATATAGAAAAAATGCACGCAAGAAATTCAACCCGTTGAGCTACACTTTGTTTGCATATATAATTAAATTCTTCATGAAATATATTTTTATAGTAAATTTGTTTTGTATCATATAAATGTATTAATCTTCTTTACAAACTTAGTCAAATAGAAGATATTTTACTTATGATAAAATCAAAACATCACTCTTTATGAGACATGGGTAGTAATTTATATGTGCCTAGCTGCTGCCGCTTTGGTTCTCATGGTGAAAGCATTTTTCGTTTTCTGAGAAATGAGTGAAAGCATTTGTGCTGGGCTCCATCGTAGTGGTAGCGTACGGCAGAGACCAGACAGCGCTCTCCGGCCGGCGGCCGACCTGGTGGTCTATGCATGGCTTTATTCTCAAGTCCACTCCGCTAAGGCGAGCGATATGATCAGGTTTCTGCAGGGATTATATTCCTTTGTCACGTAAATCTATATGTACCTAATAAAGCACCAAACAATTATTTATATATATTCGCCAGCCTTTTTTTTCACGGCCCACTTCATTGTTCCTTGCTTATAGCTTGTGGATAGAAGGAACACCTACGCAGAAGGGTCTTTGGTCCAATGGTAAGACATCTCTTTGTATATTCGCCAGCCTTTTTTTTTTCACTGCCCACTTCATTGTTCCTTGCTTATAGCTTGTGGATAGAAGGAACACCTATACGCGAAAGGGTCTTTGGTCCGATGGTAAGACATCTCTTCATAATTAACTTGTAAGTCATCATATCTGTAGATGTGTCACAATATTAAATGTACATGAAACTCAGATGAAATCCCACTAAGATTGGTCTTAGAGAAATAACCATCGGCCTGTTTGCTGGTTGTTTTCTGGGTTGATAAGCCCAGCGGTACTGATTTATTGTGAGAGAAAAACACTGTTGGTTGGCTGATAAGCCCTGACTGAAACCAACAAGCGAACAGACTGCATGTCTACATGAGAACTAAGACGTGAAGAGATATGATAGATAGATTGGTGATGGAGAGAGAAGACATATAATTGGATAAAATAATATTATGTAGCAATCCAGACATTCAATGATGACTTATGGATATCGACACCATAAATATCGACTAATGGATAAAAATTTCAAGGACTATTCTATATTGAAAATAGCATTTAACCTTTTTTAGAAATAAAACTGTTGCATGTGAAGATATCGAAAGTCAGTGAGAGATGATGTGGCATTTAGTGGAGGATATCGTGGATAACTTGCATGTTGCGATTGAAAGATAGTATGACGTTGTGCTATTTAGTGGAGGATAAGTGGATAACGTGAATAGCTTGCATATGTTGATATTGAAAACTAGTGAGGTTTGCTTTTGTAAGGTATATAACTTTGCACAAAACGTTAAGAGTATAGCAACAGAACGTGGTCATGTACGCATCTCTGTATAACATAGGATTTTGGTGACATGTCATAGAGTTAATATGCATTAGGTGAGTTTTATTATAATTGTATTTATATTTGTTTTTCGATGGTACAAACACAAATGTCCACAATGCAAACGTGTATGCATATTTATCCTTACGAACTCACACACTAAAATCCTATCTCTATAGGGAATTGCTGGTGCCCGGACATCCGATGAGATAGGATTCCGTCAGGCGGTAACTTGGGCACACTTCCACCGAACGCCCCATCAGAAAACACCATCGCACAACCCCGGCTTTGGTCGCTAGCTCGCCCGCCCACGCCTGTCGCCGCGCCATATCGCTGCTACACGTGTGCGTCTGTTCCTGTCTGTGGCAGAACCGCCCGAAATAGCCCACTTACGGAGGCGCTCGTCTTCCACCAGACACTAAGCACCCCGAAAGCAAGGTACAGCGGGCGGTATCCATCGGGCACACCACAAGTGAGAACCCGAAAGATCCACATTTTTCCCTAAGGATCCAATAATGAGAACGAGTTATAATACTTATCCATTTCATACATCAGAGTTTCTTAAAAAGTACATTATTACAATACCAAATATCATAGTGCGGAATGATAAACCGTGGAATTTTTAAAAAATAGACATCTAGCGATAGGGACAAGGATCCGTCTGAGCCCACCAGAAGAATCCTCCACACAAGGTACTTCTCATGCATCACCTGCAACAGGGGCAAATAAACCCTGAGTACATAATGTACTCGCAAGACTTATCCGACTGGTGGGAATAATTTTTCGACTCCGAGGAATATGATAAGCTTTATGGTTGGCTGGTTTCTTTTGGCAAAAAGCAATACTAATAGTGAGTCCTTATTTATGTATTATTATTAGCCGTATTAAGTTATCACCTAGCCCGTCTATATAAGCACACGTTCTATTTTCAAGCAAGAGTTAAGCAATCAGTTCTATTTCTTCTCCTTTCAACTTTTCGTTCTTACTACGGTGCTAAACCGCAGACAAGCCGTACCGGATCGCCCGGCGATTCGCGAATCAATGTGCCCAGCTGGGTGCCCCAAAAACACATGCCCCGCTTGTACCCCAGGCACAAGCAGGACTAACCCATCACTCTCCTGTCCCGTGTGTCTAGGTCCCCGTCCAAACTTGGACTCTAAGCCCCCACTCCCGAGTCCCGGACTCAGTATGGTGCAAGGATCTCAACCATCTCCGCCTCCAATCAGTCAGTCCGGAAAGAACCGGATCCGCGACAAGAGAGCAAAAGTCTTCCCTGCGCCCATACCCAAGTATGCGCTCGGAACAATAAATCTGTGACTTGCCTAGAGTCATATGCAACGACCGGTCCTTAATCGACACAGACAGGAAAAAAGTGTAACCGAGCTATGCCCTGTTGGCCTCAGGACACAACCCTTTACACCCACCAATACCCAAACCATATCCCTGCTCGGTCACCATTTACCTTTCCACCATTTTATCATGAGTGATCATATATTATCACCTATGTGCGAGTAACGGCAGGTTACTCACACTATCAATATCCTGAGCATAGCAGCTGCTCGACCTGTACTAGTAGGACCCATGGGTAGATATATTTATGCATGTAGTTTCCATAAAATGCCTATAACCTAAATGCACATCACATATATATATTCAGTGATCATTAAAATAGGGGTTATGCATCGGGGCTTGCCTTGGGCAGGAGACAGGTCAGCACCAGCAGGCTCCGGGGCTCCCTCCTGCACGAGGATCTGCTCCTCGTACTCCTCGATCACCTCGTCGTACTCCGACTCGCCAACGGGCACGAAGTCTACCAGCTCGTGATCTACATGCATGAAATGACGATGCAATGCTTAGGAATATAACAACAACTCTTAAAATAAAAGTACATCGATTTAACTACTAAGCTAGTGCTATCGACCACGGTGCTCAGCTACCTATTGTTACCGATAACAAGTTTGAAATATGACATTCATTATTACCATAGCAACTACAGGTGTTCTTACCCCTAAAGCTAATTTTACGCTATATACGATAAAGCAAGGGTAATGGCTACTCTATTTAACAATGCATTGTAAGGCTAGAAAATTTACAGCAAGTACATAATAACCTAGCGAGCCTACTGTAAAATTTTTACATCCATAACTATCACCAATCTTCCACAAATATTCCTACAACTATTAATCTACATAATATTAGCTTTCTGATTTTGAACTTATGACCCAATACTTGCCATAACTAACTTCAATCAAACTGTACTAACAAATAGACGGTATTTTTTCGAACCTAACAAAATTAGTCTCACTATTTTTGGACCTCTACACAATTTACTACAATTTATCAAAGTTCAACTCATAACTAAAGAAAATAAGCATTTCTATTTTACTGGAAATTAAAGAAACCGAATTCTAACTCGCGGCCCATCTCGCGCGGCTCGACCCACAACGGCACGGTGCGCGCGCCAGCGAAGCGCGGCCCACGCGGGGGCGCGGCCTAGCCGGCCAACGGCCCGCGACGAGAGAGACCCGCGCGCGACGGCAAACATGCAAAAATGCCCCCGAACTACTCTGTATTTACTGCGAGCTCTAAGGCACTATTCCTCTAGTCTACGGTTTTATAGCTACGCCCTTCCCCTTCTTCTTCTTCGCCACGGCGACGTCCCCCGGCACCCGTGCGCGCACTAGCGCGACGGCGCGGGCACCGGGCGGCCATGCCGGCGTCACCCGACCCTCCATGTCCTATCTAAGGAACCGATGGTTACCTCCACGACAACGCGCAGCGACTGGAGGCGATACGGCGAACAGGGGCGTTGTCTCGAGCTCCCTCCCCGGCGGTGGTCCTTTCCCTGCGATGGCGGGTGCGTTCCCGTGAGCGACAGCGAAGACGAAACAAACAATTTAGCTAGCGAGCTCAAGGAACTACCCACGGAGACCGTTGAGATGTTGGTTCGGCCGGAGATGGCCCGAGCCGAGCTGGCCGTGTGCGCACCGACGATGCGGCGATGCACGGCGATGGCACGTCCGTGTTGGGGAAGGTGGGGCTGCTGTAAAGCTACGACTGAGGTGCGCGGGGTGCTCAGGAGGGTAAGACTAGGCTGGTGATGCAATGAATCGCCATGGGGTGCTATGAGTAGGCGGCTTGCCCATGGCGTGCACCCGTCCGGTCTTAAGGACCCGGCGGAGTGGCGATTAGGAATTGAGGCACCGTGCAGCGGCACCTACAGCGCGGTGGGGTAGGTTGGGTGACCGGCTACCTGGCGGAGCCGAGGGTGCGACGAATTGGAGTATAGTGATGTGGTCACGGCGAATTGACGGAAGGGGTCCCGTCGGCCATGGCGACAGCGAAGACAGGGGAGCTTTGGCCCGGCCTGGTTCGGCCCGGCTGTGGATGTCAACACAAATTACAAGCACGCACAACTATGGGGAACAGCGGGACGTGCTCCAGGCGGCTGTCCGCACGGCTGAACCCGCACACCGACTAAACTCGGTACGGCGCCACAGCAGATAGCGCCGGACAAGAGAAGCACAGCGCAACGTGACGCCGAGGTGATGGTGGAGCAGGCGGTCGTCCCACGCGCGAGCAGCCACGGTGAGTCAATGGGAGTAGTGCCGGGCGTGGTGACTGGCGACGTGTAGCGCGGGACTCGGTGCGCCTCCCGCCAGAGTAGGGCAGGGCAGGGCAGGACACGGTCGATGTCCCGGACATAACGCGTCAGCCACGGCGACGTGACCCGCACGCCAGTGAGTGGCAGCAGGCAGCCAAGGCAGCAGCGCCAGGACCCTCCGCGCGATGTGCATTCACGGCGGCAGTGAGGACGCGGCCAGCGCTTCGGCGCGCGCGCTGGGCGAGCCAGTAGCAGCGCCAAGCCGAGCAGTGGCAATGGCCGCGGCTACCGCGTGTTGGTAGGCGGCCTTGGCCCGCAACGCAAGGGCCGTGCGCGTGCGTACATGCACAGGCGCGGTAGTGGGACACAGCCGGCGCGGCAGCGCGCGCTGGCAAGCCTGCAACGGTGCCAGGCCAGCAGGGGGTGGTGACCGCGCCCGGAGCTAAACCATGTGTCGTGCACGCTTTTTAAAGCAGCTCAAAAACTCGAACCCGATACTCCGAACGCCAAACCAGTTGTTCGATGCGCAAGAGGGTACGTAGGGCTATCGACCGGAGTCATGACATCTTGCCACTTCCTAAGCCGATCGCTCTACAACAATTGCCAAAAGTGGCTTCGTCGACCCAAATACGGACTTACGCGAAACGAACAAACCGCGATGGTTTCGCGTCGAATTCAATTTAGACCTATTGGGTATGCTAGCTAACGAACCTCGTCCGCACATATTTTATCGTTGCCTACGAAGTACGTACTACCAACTCTATCAAAGTTCGCATAAACATTCTATAGCATTTTCACTCGATAAAAATTCGCTCAAAATACTAAACAATATTAAACAACATGAAATGTAACCTTTGTTTCTTGTTTCAGATAAACATGTCAAGTGACGTATATTGATTTATACTCCAAATTACACACAAGTACAAACAAGTATGATGCTCATGCAGTGTTTTAACAAAACAGTACAATGTAACACCGAGGGTGTTACACTGTCTACCTTGTCCCGCCGCGCACGCGTACCCCGCCCCCGTCCGCCTCGCCCCGCGCCCACCGCTCCTCCCTTGACCCCCTCCTCTATCTCTGCATGGGCAGGACCCGGGAGTCGGGATGAGGACGAGCACGCCCTGTCCGCAGGACCCAGGCGCGCCGCGCGCCCCATCCGCTGACCCCCGGCTCGCCGCGCCCCTTCGCCGACACCCGGGCCATGCCCCCATGACTCTCTGAACACACCTCTAAAACACGAAACACTTGCAGCATGAAACACTTGAATGCAACATACGTTCAAAGCAGATGAAACATTTGAAACATACACTTGCACATAAACATATGCAGCATCCAGATAAAACAATTGCAACTTGCAACATGAAAACATTTATTGCAACATAAGACTGAAACAACTAAAACATGTTGAACATACTCTTGCAACATATGTGTGAAACATGTGCAACATCCAGATAAAAAACGCTTGCAAGATACGTTTGAAATAGATGAAACATTGTAAACAAACGTTTGCAACATGCCTCTGAAACACTTGCAATGCAACATCCCGATCTACTTTTGCCACATCCATATAAACTACTTGCAACATACCTTTGAAACATTCAAAACACTTGAAACATACATTTGCAACATAGAGGAGGGTAGGTCGGGGCCGGTTGATTCCGGCCTCGGGGTGGGAGCCGGCGACGAGCGACAACGTGCGAGAACCATCGGCACGGCCCACACTCGTGGGTGCCCTTGGTTCGGTCGGGACCGACCTGAGGCGCACGACGGCACCACCAGCATTAGCCGAGGCGAGCGGCGTGCCCGACGACGCCGGGGCGAGTGGCGTGGGTCGACGCGCGACGGTGGGGGTGCGGGGAGCAAGGAGCGAGAGAGCATGCGGATGGGGTGCGTGACGGGTAGGAGCGAGGAGCGAGCAGCGCAGGATGGGGGTGCACATGGGGAGATGGAAGCATGGCGCCGTGAAGCGGGCTATGGGAGAGCGAGCGGGGAGATATTTTGATAGAGAGATCGGGAAGACATAGAGAGGAGGCAGCCTTGTTGGGCCGGTAGCGTGCAGGCCTCGGTCGGCGGCGTCCGATCGGCCAGACGCCTGTCCCAGCATTACCAATCTCTATAAGCGCTTTAGAAAAACTAAACCTGTAGATTTTGAGATTGACGAATCATCGTATAGGAGTCTTGCTATCGAAGGACGCGGTTTATTACTAAAAGAATAGAGTAGTTAAATTCTAATATAAATTCAACCACTGGTGTAAAGTCAAAACTTAGAACTTAGATACGCAGCTAGAGTGACATGATACAATATGTTAAGAGTAGGCTAATCAAGACAAGTACAAACAAGCCACAACTACACGGGGCGGATCAGGGATTGCATAGAAGAGTTTCGTACAGTTTCGAAGAATTGAACTCCAGATCACTGTGAGCAGCAGCAACTACCCATGCAATGCAAAAATGGCATCGAGCGTTTCTGTCCTCTTGATTAACATACCTAAAATTCAGTACTGCGACACTTAAGCTCACGTACATGAGTTGTCCCTGCTCGTCTTGAATGACTGAATGTCTGAATCTCGACCATACTTTCATTTCGGTCACGCAAGAGACTTGTTTACGCGATCTCACGACTTTTTTTTTGGTTTTTTATTACTGAAGTCACAGCCATACAGGAGTACATGCATATAAGGTGGATGCAGAGCATCGATGAATGGGATTGGGAATGGGAGTACAATTTATTTACGTACGAGATTAGCTAGGTTGTCATCACCTGCAGGTTATTATTTAAAGTTGCATGTATGTACTCATGCACCAACGTTGGCGTCTACCAATCCGGACTCGCATCGTATCCACACATTCACCACGAGCTGGCGTCGGCTGCTTAAGCGCGGCAGTAGCCGCGCCTGAGCTGGGCCTGGGCGAAGCCGCCGCCGCCCACGACGAACTCCTCTACCTCCTCTTCGTAGGTCTCCTTGCACTCGTAGGTCTCCTCGCAGGTTTCCTTTTCCTCATAGGCCCCGTAGCGGTGGTGGGAGCCCCCGCCATGGTGGTTTGCCGCCATCGCGTTGCTAGCCTTCATCATGGGATAGTTGTCGAAGCAGCGCCCGCGGGCCGGGGCCTTGCCGCCGTCGACCTCCTTGAACAACTCCTTGTGGACAACGTGGTGCTGCAGCGGCACCACCGGCACCTCAGAGCAACTCCAACTCAGAGTTGTAAAAATAGATGGCTAAACTTATAATTTAGCCAACCTCTAAAATAAAAACCTAGTAAAAAAACATAAAACTGCAACAGCTTTTTTATTTGAATGAGGCGAATGGCTAGCGGCACATGTAAGCTATATCTAGCATGCGAGAATTTCGAGATAGATGACTTGCTATTTTAGAAAACGAGATACAATAGCTGTTGGACGCTCTTTTTTCTCTAAAATGCTCAAATATAAATTACACAACATAAATAGCTCCTGTATTGGAGTTGCTCTGAACATGGCTGCTCGCTACTTGGCTGCTTTCCCTGTGTGCCTTGGCACTTGGATCGCTATGGCTCGGCGCTGCATGGATGTGCTTCAACTGGCTTTTTATAGGCGTGCTAGCGGCTAGCGCTGATCGGTTGGGCTGCATAGGATTGCATGCCGCATTTGTTATGGGCTGGTGGTAGTGGTAGGGTGGGACAGGCTTTGGGGCGACCTCCATCATGCATGGCTTTATTCTTCATGTCCATGACTCAAGTGTTGAGCTAGGCATCTTGTTGCGGGGGAATAAAATTAACTCGAATTCAATAAACTCCAAATGACAGAAACAAAGATCCTGTTCGATCCATAAATGATAAAGCAGCAAAGATCCTATTCGCGCGCTACATTTGACGGTCCATAATCCCCTTGTTTAGCCAGGAGAAATACGGATTGGTTTCAAGCATATATAGCTTGCGTGGTTTGAGTGTCGATCACTCAGTGTTGTTAGATTAACTCGGTGTTCTGTATCACGGCAAATATTTTACCGTCCTTTAGGGAGACAAATGTCAGTAAATCACAATAACGATGTGGTTTCTTCAAACAAATTCCAGGTACGAAGAGCATCTCCAAAAAAAATCTCTCCATAAGTCACTTGCTAAACCATGCCAAGTGAGCAAAATGGTACTAGGAAGTTCATTTTTTTGCCTCTCCTCCAACTGCTACCAACAGTTTGCTTTCCCAAAATTAGTCCCAAAGCTCACGTTGTCATTTTCAATGACCAAAATCGTTTAGTGGCTCTAGCTTAGGTGCCAGTTTTCTTACACGTCGTATGATCGAGTGGAGACTTGATGACTCCTCGGTGGATTATACAGTAGGCCTAGTTGGACTATGTGACAAGTTTGGTCAAGTCTCTGTGTTGCACCGTATGTTTCGATAATGGTTGTGTGACACGCCGATGGACCATACGACGAGGAATATCCTAATATATTCCTAATTAAACGTTATGGGGATCAGCCAGGTCAGCAGTGCTATATGATCTAGCGCCAGCAATGGTGACGGCGGATCAGATGTCTGTGTGATGTCAGCTTTTTCAAGCGACTAGCAACCCCTCCACCCTGATTTTTTTTTTAATTTTAACACTTTTTCGAAATTAATTTTAAATCTAGCATGGTCAGGTTTTTTTTAACTAACACTTTTGGCCGCGTCTATTGCCCTGGCGCGGCCAAATGCCTGTGCCACGCCTTGCATGGTGGCGCGGCAAAGGGCTGACGTGGCGGCGACCGGAACCGTTGATCTGGCCGATCGGCGGCGAGCCTGCCGCGCCATCGATCTTGGCGCAGGCGATGCTACCGATCCGTGGCGCGGCAGGGCCGAATAAAACCTCCACCGCGTCCCGCGTCCGCCAGTGGCTGAGCAGCCGCCGTTGCCGGCAATGAAGAAGCAAGGCAAGGCCACACACAGCCTGCGCCATTCGTCGCCAACGCCCGACTTCTTGCCGAAACACGCCGGCGGCCGTGTGTCCGCCAACGCATGACCGCAACCACCAGTAGCAGCCGTGTCCACCAGCTAGCTTGACCAGCCCGCCGAGACGCAACGGCGGCGCCCGGTCGGCCGCAAGCATACCGCATGCCGGCGTGCCACCCCCTCCGGCCACGCACGGCGGCTGCCCGCCGAGGCCTGCGCCCGCGCCTCCCGACCCAGTCTAGCGCGCTGCAGCGAGGTACTCCCCTAATATAGTTAGTATAGTTAATAAAGTTAGTAAAACTATTAAAGTATAGTTAGTATAGTTAGTAAAGTTAGTTAGTTTAGTTAGTATAGGTAATATAGTAAGTTAGTATAGGTAGTTTAGTTAGTACAGTTATTGAGTCTAGTTATGCATTGGATTTAGTCTAATTAGTTGTTGTAGTTAGCCTTGTATAGATGTTAATATTAGATTATTTAGTATAATTATAATTAGAATATGTATTAATATTACTTTGGACATTACGTACGACGATTTCGACAACTTGATGAAGTTTCTTGAAATACTTTTGCAGATGAATTGTTGTGTTAGAGTTTTGTATGGAGAAAGTGTTAGGAGAGAAGATGGTATGTTTGAGGATATAGAAGAAGAATTGGAATGGTTTGATGAACCTCCTAACTTCAACGACATTTATGTTCGTTTGAATGCAAAGTTTGGCGGTGATTTCACACTGAAGCGGAGGTTTGATATTGGGAAGACTAGGGCACACTATGTCCTCATGCCCTTGCGTGACCCTGCTCACTGGTCCTGCTAAACTAGGGTTCTCCAAGGTTTCAATGTGCCCATGACTGAGGTGGTGGTGGAGAATGGGTACAGGATGCAGGGTGTTCAGGACGGCCCGTCCATTGATGGTTTTGGAGGCAATGACAAATAATTTGGGGTTGAAGGGGAAGCAACTCAGGATAACATGAATTTGGACGATCAGTTGACGCAGGAGTAGTTTCATTCAACTACAGTAGGTTGTTTAAGCAATGACTTCGATGTGAATGAGTTCGAACGGGAAGAGGAGGAGCAGGAGGAGAAGGACAGGATCAGTGATGTAGTTAGCAGTGATTCAGACGATTCTGATGATGACCTAGGAGATACAGATGCTATGCCAATACCGGCTGATGCCATGCCAGTACCGGTTCATACTATGCCATTACCAGTACCAACTGAGGTTTTGCATGGTGTCCAAGCTCAGGGTAGACTAGTCACAGATTTGGCTGCAAATGATACCCCCTATGATTCATGGGCCAGAATTAGCGAAACGCAGCAGTATGTTCCACCACCACCTTACACAGCGATTGAGCTTGAGCAACTAAGGTCCAAGAACGTACCTTTCAGGGGTGTTCCAAACTATAAGGATGTCAGCATGACGGATATGGCAGTTTGTAACACCGGTCTCCAGATGTGTAGGAATTCATTGTATAACCATGAGAAAGAAACCCTTAGAAAGGGGATGATATTTAACACAATGTCAGAGATGAAACTCTTCCTTCAGGACTATGCTGTGTACCACCATAGGACGTACACCGTCACTCATTTGGACCAGGAGTTGAGGTACCATGTGATATGCAAAAACGGTTGTATGTGAAGGTTAAATGCACGAAAGAGACAGAGTGATGGCAAGTGGAGGATAACTAAAGTTGTCGAACCCCACACTTGTCTAGACAATAGGGGGAAGGAAAATCATCAGCAACTCACTGCACGTTACCTTACCCGTCGTATATTGGGGCTCATTGATGACAATAACGACATCTCGGTGTCTTCTTTACAACAATCCATATCTGGATTTGTTAATTATGATGTGACGTACGAAAAGGCTTGGCGTGCTAAGCAAATTGCTCTGATGATTCGATGGGGTACTTGGGAGGAAGCATACAACAGGGTGCCCCGCATCTTATGTGCAATGCATTACTACAACCCTGGCTTAAAATGGTTTGTGGACACCGGAGGGATGTTTTGTCGGGACTCATTGAGGCATGTCCTCTATCGTGTGTTCTGGTCGTTCACGCAAATGGAACATGCATTCTAGTTTTGTCGGCCAGTCGTACTTGTTGATGGCACTTTCTTGACAGAAAAGTACAGGGGCACCTTGATGATGGCTGCTGCTATTGATCCTGAGGACCAGATACTATCCATGGCTTTTGCTTTTGGCAAAGGGAGAGAACAATGAATCGTGGTCATTGTTCATGCAGCTTCTACGTGTGCAAGTGTTTGGCCCGACTCGCACTATATGTTTGATCTCAGACCGTCACGCAGGGCTTCTTAATGCTGCAGCTGAGCATATAGATGGGTTCCCGCCTCTAGTACATAGGTGGTGCATGAGACACTTTGCCGCTAATTTCTGGCGGCGTCAGCAGAAGCAGGAGGTATGTGACAAGATAAAGGCTCTATGTTGTGTACCTACGGAGCACCAATTCAAGGAGACAAAGAGAGAACTAGACAAGATGATAAATGCAGCGGGAAAGGCCTGGTTAGAGGCGCAGATGGAACAGAAGGCTCAGTGGGTGTTAGCATATGACGAGGGGGGTTTCAGGTATGGCATCATGACCACTAACTCCTCTGAGTCCTTCAACCGTGTATTCACCGGAGTTCGATCGTTGCCTGTGTTTGGAATTGTTGAGTTCTCCTTTCATAAGTGCAACAAATATTTTATGAAGAGGTAGGAACTTGCGCAGAGGAATATAGCTGAGCAGGAGCGTTTTGGAAAGGGTGGAGCTGAACATTTGAAGGAGGCCGAGGAATTAGCCAAACAGCACACCGCCAAACCGTATGGACCCCGCCGCCATATCTTTAGTGTACGGGGCAAGGGTGGCACAAGCTTGGGCGACGAACGTTATGGTGGACGAAACTACCGCGTTGATCTTAAAAAGGTAGAGTGCGGTTGCAACGTCCCTCAGATCATGCATGCCCCTTGCTCTCATATGATCACGGCCTGCAGGGTTCGTGGGTACAACTATGAGGATCTGCCATATATGTCACCCTTGTATCTCCGTTCGAACACAGTTAGGATTTGGGAGATGAGCTTCGAGCCATACCTTGACCCGACACAGTGGCCACCTTATAATGGTTATGACTACGTGCCACATCCGGATCTAATGAAGAT